TGGTGATACCTGGGTATTTGCATATTGAGCTTCCTGGAAGGTGTAGGCTAAGTAAAGTTTTCATAGATTTCAATGTTGTGTGTTACTAGGAAGTCGAAGTTCTGCAAGGCCGCTCGCTTGCCAACACCGTTGAACACATCAATTGCCTGTAGGCCCATTAGCTTTCCCAGTGCAGAGAGAGAGCCGAAGTTTAAAAACTTGTATCTGACGTTCGACGTCGCGCATGTAGCAGGCCATTTACATTCCTGTGCCATTTTTTTCACCAAGATATTCATTTCTTTGTTTTTAAGGAGGGTCTGTTTTGACACTGAATGTCTTACTTGTGGGTAGTACTGTAATGATAAAGTAGCAGAGAGAAAAGCGAGACCTTTCTAAGTTTTAGTGCACTTTCGTGCTGAGGTTGACACAAGTCCTACCTTTTTGAAAAAGGAGGGCTTAATCGTATTTTTCGAAATTTGTTTCCGAAGAAATCAAAAATCTATTGAGTGTGTCCACATCTTGCTATACCTCTCCTTAATTAATATGCTATATACCTCCCCCTTATTTAATCTGCTGAATACTGACAAAGGGTGGCCTGAATCTCTTGCAAGCTACTGAAATGTTTCCGGGGTTACCTTTTAATCCACTCGAGTATTTAGTTTAAATGCTGAACTGTTCGCAGGTAACGATATCGAGGAATGTGACGGGCCTGGAACCATACTGTTACTAACGATAACTTTACTGATAATTTATTCATTAGTTAAGCTTAATGTCACAGTAACACGAACAAAAAATCAAATCAAGTTGTAACATCCCCAGTGGCTGCTCTCTGTAGTGAGCGATGTGTGTGCTAGAATGTATAAGCATTGGGGGTACACAACATTGTAATATTTCTCCTTAAATTGTCATTGTTCTTTTCACACTTAGGGTGTAGATCTACAACCATCTAAACGATGAACATGACTTATACGCGCCATGCTTCTGCACAGCTCTGACTATTTGTAAATGTACCTTTTTTCTTACGATCGAAGCTTCCATCGTCCTTTAAGACGGTTTCATTGGTAGTGATCGTATCATTAGTTCAGTTTTTGTGAAGCTAAAGTTGGTCCTGCTATTATGTTCCATGGCCATGGTTCGGCCATACCTAAAGAAAACTACCACGGCCCGTACAAGTGGGATAGCTCCACAAGTGGAACGGTATCATAATGCTTTGATTACACCTAGTAATTTGCTGACAACAACACACAACTTCAAATATTGGATTCACTACTTCACATAATTCAACACAGACTATTTAAAGAGATAGCTCTCCGCGTGACGCATTGCGAACGTCATGAAGTGGATCAAGAACGTCA